AGCCATATAATAACCACACTTATCCAAATTAGTAGCCTACTTACCAAGTCTTGAGCGTTAATCGATACCGTGTAGTAAGGCGCATAAGCTTTAGGGCTTGGGCTTCCAGCACGGGGCTGTAGGGTATACCTTAAACCCAAAGACCTTTAGTTTGAGGACTGAGTCCACATGCTTGCGGATGACATTCTAACACGAAGGTGTTTGGGTTTAATGGGAGACTCTCATAGTCCCTCATTTCGGTACTGCCCGCACCCCGGCACAGTCGATATTAGGCGGCATATTAAGGGCTATATTGCGGGAAAATATGTATAGACATATGAGAATATATATATATATATATATGTCTCTCTCTCTCTCTCTCTTTATGTGCAAATATAGTGTTGATACTATCCAACTGTTACAGAGTGGGGGCAGTACTCAATCCATCAACACTAAATCCTGAAATCTCAAACCTCAACCCTAAACCATCATATGTAAGGCATTCTGCAGCTCGCGCACGAGTCAAGTCCTGAAAAACGTGGTCTGCAAAGGCGGAAAAGCAACTGGGTTTAGGGTTTGGAGGCGCCCAAGGGTACTGTACAAATCCATCTGTGCAAGGAGATTCATGAAGGGAGTCTCTAGATATAAAGAGGGACATTAAGGGCAAATCATATGAGCCATAGTCTGAACTCCTAGTATCTCCCTTAATGACCCTATACCTGTACTACTCCGCTACATAATCCCATATACAACCTTCTTAAGGAATTTAGACTCTAGCTCATCTGAAACCTGTGGGGTATGTTCAGGTATACCAGTGCCCCAAGAACTTTAGGGTTTATGGCATAGGTATGTTTCAGGATAGCAAAACATTAAGGCCCCCGATGTTAAGATAAAGACGTAACAGTACGGCTCGCTAGGTCTACAACAGCAGTTCCTTGAAAAGCTGCAAACAAGAGCACACCCGCTTTTCAACGATGTTCTCTTCAGGTATAGATGATGCCAAAGAAACACAATCCTTCAGAAGACTCCGTATATGGCCACATTGACCATGTCTTGGCACCCTATGTCTATGTCTACTGCTATAGGATATGCGCTTCCAGAGGTCATAACAAACAATGGATGCTTCTACTTGTCATGAATCCTGATGTGGATGCATGTACGCAGGGGCTTCATATCGAAACCAGGAGTATGCTTAGCAACCCTGGAGACATGGGGGATTCTCGAATTTGGAGGTATCATTAGGTGTCCCCATAGTAAGGATTTTCACATTTTTGGGTCTATATTGGGCCACCCCATGTGTGGAAACTACCATGTATAGGTCAAACCCTGTACAAACAAGGATTCTATAGAACTTGAATTGAAAAACCCATGTCAACATCTTTCCTGCTGTTAGTAAGGAATGGAGGAATCCCTATAAAACCACCAACAAAGCAGTAGTTTCAATTTTCGTTTCCATTATTTCATTCCCTACTAATTGAGCAAGCGGCGAGACGAAGGTCTAAAGCATTCCCTAAAGATCCTTGTATACAAACAATGCCTACATTCTTCCCAAGCCTATACATGTTACCTACCTTGAGCCATTTGGCTCCTTGGTGGTCTAAGCCTAAACCGTAAGAAGACCCAGCTGCTCAGGAAGAGCAGCGACATCAAGGCGCGAGCCGCAGTTCGTCGCCAGCAAGGCATTTTGGCGCGGAACATGGCCATTGAAACTTCCTCTTTGCTATATGGATACAGCCAATGTTTTTAACATCATCTGACGGAGATGGGCTCCTTCTTAAGGACTATATCAGGATATCTGACCGACAACTCTGCAAACTCATCGACTTCCTGCTTGTGATATGTGTCAACCTGCTGGTGCAAGCTCCACTTGTGAATCTGCATATGTTCAGACTACAGGCTTGCCATAGACCCTTGGCTCTACTTGGTCTTCCCAGGTTTCACTGGATTCGCGAGCCTTTTAAGCTGGACCTGAGCCTGAGGGCCGT